ATTATTGTAACTGTGCACGATTTATGTAATAAACAAGTGGCATAATTTGTTGTAGGATGAAGCTGAAAAAGTCAAAAGAGAAGTTATTGTTGAATATTGCCACAGGTAAGTACGAAAAATATATTCAGTATCTCTCCTTAAGAGTCATACATAGGATGTTTGTTTTTCCCCATTGTCTAGGTATGGCAGGAAATGGTGCAATGTTGACATTTATTCAGCAGAGGCCAGGCTATAAAGGAACTGGAGAGTAGAGATAATATAATGCTGAAATGAGACAAATAGAAACATATCATAGTTTTCAATTCCATGTACAGCATTTATATAAATAAATTATTCACCAAGCTCGGTGTTATATAAGGCTAAAGAAACTGCCTTGATCTTGAAGCTCTGAAGTCTGAATTGTTACGGTATTGATTTTGTTATATAGAGTCTCAGCAGGATTGTAGCCATGACTATTTATATCATATATCATGCCACTGAATTGGAGGTAAACAAACTGAAATGTTCTATGGAGTTTGGATTATAACTCAAACCACCATGACCAATATTCAGGGATTTGGGGAAGTGCAGTCCAGACTATTTGGAGGAGAGCAAGTAATTCAGACCTGCATTGCATCCCCTCTGATATCATAAGGGTTGTGACCTGAATTTAAAAAACAGAAAAGCAAAAGCATGCCACAGGATGGGATATGGAATTTAAAAATCTACAATAAATCAAATACAGGAACATTTTATTTTCCAATGTAGAAGTCATATAATTACTTGATACCTTTAGAATGAAACAATAACAGATATTAATGAATGTCTGCATTCTTCCACCATTATCTATTGCTAAGGCTGAAAAGATAAAATCCTGCACATTATGCCCTTTATCAACTCACAGCAGCATTGATATTTCTTTGAGACCTCTTATTCCTTCCGAGGTTGATAATTTGAATATAAATCTAACACCAAAAAGGCTCTGCTTTTTCAGATATTAGCTAGATCATTTTTTCTGATATTAGATTTGGATCCCATTTAGGATGAATCATCGTATGTCTCAGTACTCTCTTCGAAGTCAGATCATTGCCTATTATAACAGTATAAAAGCGATACTGGATGACTTCCCCAGGGTGAGAACCAAATACTTTACCATAGGATTGCCACAAGAGAAAAAAGAAGAAAAAGAATCCAAAGGCAAACTTAACGATGATCCCAGGTTTGTAACTGGTTTTCAGTGTTTCCTACCACTTTGCAGGCATACTGGAAAGAATAAGATTAGCACTGCTAGGTAACACTGGGATTTTTCCAGCATTTTTATATTATATTCAAGTAGTCTATTGCATTTATATCTCACTTTTCTTCTAATGAATTTAACACTGTATATGTTATTCTTCTGCCATTTTATTCTCACAAGAGCCCTATGGGATAGTTCAGGCTGAAAGGCCAAAATCACTCAGTGATTAGGAGTTTGATGTTGGGTAACCATGTCCCAAGCTGCAGGGTTTGGCTACTACATGCATTTCAAAGGGCAAGAGATAAAGTAGAAGAAAATTGCTTCTGTTTGTGAACAGGGAGGATCATGTACAGGTAAATAATGCCTATAAACTAACTCCATTCACAAAGTAGACCGACTTCATACCAACCTAAAACATAATCATGAGACCTTAGGACTGTATGTTCCTCTTGGAATATGTGGCCCTTGGTGCATCTTTGTGCACCACCAATCACTGTCATGACTTTCTGCCATTTTGGGTTGGGAAAGCACATGAAAATTGTACTGTAAACTCTAAAAGAGGATTGCCTTGAACCCCCGTATTATCAGAAACTCAAGAAAAAAATTGGCCATCCAAAAAGCTGTCTAGTTCAACTCTCATTGGATCCAGGAGTATAGTGGAGAGGTCATTACTCTTGTGAAGGTTGTCAAAGGACTTCAGGTTAAGAGCCATGGTGAGCTAAACATCCCTTTTTGCAGCAGGACAGTGTTACAATGGAGATTGGCATGGGATGTAGGATCCTGGCCGCCAAAATGCTCTTAGATTAAGGAAGATCTTTGAGATAGTCCACGTGACTCCGCACAGCTGTTCCTTGTGAGTAAACCATAGGAATAGTCTTTTTGCAGTTTGCCTATGGGTCGAACAGCTGGAAGTCAAGGGAGGAACCATCTTTGCTTACAGTCATGAATGCAGCCTTTTTAAAGGACATTTAGTTCGACCTAGCCTCACTTCTTAATCACTTTGGATTTGCGTGTGTATGTGTTTTTTTCTGCTGCTTTAAAAGGATTAAGGCCCTTTGGAATGGCAGGTTATATTGTATTCGCTAGGTGAGTTGCCTTCTCCTTAGAAAAAGAACTTTTAAATACAATTCTTATAACCTTTTGAAAAATATTACTTTTTGGATTAAACAGCAAAAGGGTGCTCAGAATATGGACTTTAGAAAGTTTAACAACAGATTAAGGGCTCAGATGGATTTTCAATTAATTTTAAATGCCCACAAAGAGCTTTGATTTAACTAGAAGAAATTTTCCCATGGGAAAAATAGTGATTGAGTTTTTTCATGATAAGGGGACTTTGAAGATTGGACACTAGGGAGTTAGAGAATAAAGAAAATGGATCAGAAATCCATAATACAAACTTGGGAATAATCAAATTCATCTATTTTGCCAAGTTTCTTGACAAAATAGATGAATTTCTTGACAAGATTGACAGAGGATGTTGTAATGAAATTACAGAACAAGAAGAATTTGCAATGGATTATTGTGAAATTACTTTGAAGGGGGACTTAAATGTAACAAGTAATAAAGATATGGAAAAAGATATGGGCACACAAATAGAACTGATGGAAGACTTATTCCCAAAAGGAGATATTCAAATATTGAATCGGGAAACTGACTTGGATAACTTTTGTTTTTCCTGGATATACAAAACAGCTCTGTTAAGGTTCTAAAACACCTTAGTAGAAGTGACAAACAAAAGGACAAACTTTACTTATTGAATGTACAAAATAAATATGGTAAAATTCTGAAATATTTTTGACTTGAAATACAGATGCACAGAAAACTAGCGCTGGGATTCTTTTTGAAGGGGTTAAAAGATCTTTTTTAAAACTCAGGGAAGGAATACAAGGTTAGCTTATTTGACCAGGGCTAAAGGAGAAAAATAGTTATATCTGGTTACCTTTACTGGATTTTGCTGATAAAGAACAACTAATGAAGCATTTGGATTTTGTTTTTTTTAATTCAACAGATGAGATATGGGGTGAAGAGAGATTAGGTTGTATTTAGAGATAGTGATAAGCTAATAAGATTGTCTTTACTTGCTGGGATGAAGGGGGAAGTTACTTCTTTTTTCTTTTTCTTTTTCTATTTTTCTTTTTCACACTTTTTTCTTTGCTTTTATATATTTCTGTCTGTATTTTTTGTAGCCTGTCTTGGCTTTTATTCTTTTCATTTATAATTCTTAACAAAATTATTTGAAAAAAAAAAGAAGGCTGTCAGACATTTATTTGTTCTTTTTATTCTATGTCTATCCACTCTTCATTTTGCAGCATATAGTACGTATGTGTATCAATATCAGTACATATGTGTAACTAATATCAGTTAGTGGTTCTTGGGTGCCATGCACCATTGCAGTGTAATTGTACAAATAATTCAGTTATTCTCTTAACAATCAGGTCATTCCAGCCGCGACCTCGTTGCTTGCTGTCCAGTGACGGACAATTCTTCTTGAACCTGTGGTTTATCCCTCACCCTTCAGAAATCCTAGGTGCATTTAAAATGCTGCCAGAGAAGGTCAGTGCTCCGAAAATCTTGCAGAAAGTTCTTTGTTGGCCAAATGGCCTATATCTGGAATTGGTCAAATGATAGAGTGAAAATGTACATAACACAGGAAAGGTATTTTATTGGAAATCATGATTTTTAAAAAGACTGGTGAGATGTGACCCAAGATATTTGATACTTTACAGGATTCCCCCCATCTTCTCTCACACACAATCAGATGTGCTGGGAAAGCTGAGAAAGCATAGAGTTATCCTGACTGGGAATTATGGGACTTAGTCCAACCAAATGGATGCTGCAGTTTGGGCAAGATTGGCCTATCCTTTGGCAGATAGCAGGGACAGAGAGTTTATCAGCATCTTTACTGGATGATGTGCAGAGATAGAAGAAAGCAAGTTAAGCAGACCTTTCTTCTATATTACCATATTAGAAATCTAGAAATGATACTCAAATTGCTGCAAGGGCTAAATTGCAGTGCTTCCTCGCATACCTAATAGATAATGTGATGTGATAGAGCTCCTTCCAATTTTCTAATAGACTTGGTTAACCCAGTATGCTATTCCATGGTTGTTTAAACTATGGTTTGTTAAATCAGACATGATTGGCTGATTTCTCATACATTGGGATAATCCATAATATGCCACAATTTTAAGCGTTCACCCATCCTGCTGAGCCCTATTATGGTTTAATGCAGGGGTGGGCAATCTTCAGAGGCCAAAGGCCATGTCTAATATTTTGGGAGAAACTGAGGGCTGCAAAAAGACTGGGACTATGTTGCCCATGTGGAAGGGCAGGGGTTTGGGAGACAGTTTGGAGGGTGTTCTTTGTTTTTTAAATGGATAGGACTATTTTAGGGCTTACCTTACAATTTTTGTATCTTTTGTATTTTCATGTTTATCTCCTCATGATTTATGAAATAATATAGCAATCATGGTCAGAGGGAGGCCTTGGGGCCACAAAAAGAGGACTTGGGGACCTCATTTGGGTCTGTGGCCATAGGTTGCCCAGACATGGTTTAGCACAGCGTGGGAACTTACTTATGAAAAAGAGATGAAAAGATAAATATAGTAGAAAGCTTAAATAACCTTAGACAAATCCTGAATATTGAACGTGCTACTGTTTTTAAGTAAAATACAAAGTTCATTCATTAAATTTTAATTCACCCAGAAAATAATACTTGGGCTTGCAACTTGGTAACTTACTGTAATGGTATGTGGCAATGACCTTGGGATACAGGGCGAAGAGATGCAGCCAAGGAAATGGTCAGATAAAAGGCAGCTTAGCCCACAGCAGGAATGTTGGAGGGGAAAGCAGCTCAGAAGAGACCCTCCCTAGTTTCTTGGGCTGTAAAGGGGAGGAGATGTAATTTCAGACTTGCAAGATTCTGTTAATGTAACCTTACAATAAGGTAGAATTAGTTCATCTGCCTGTGTTTCCTGTCTGGCGTACCTCGCAAGGCTGACATCTACAACTTGGCAACCCAAGCAGACTGCCTATTGGCAGAACTGGCTAACTAAATACAGAAAGACCAGTGATCTTGTTTGGAGAGGATTTTGAACCTTTATTAAAGGTAGCAGTTAGTTCTCTGAAAGTTTTAATAAGTGACAGTTTGATCTCCTCAGTCAGTTTTTTAAAGCATTTCTCTGCCTGTTCTTGAGTTGGATAGACAATCAAACGGCTTACATATTTAATAAAAGCACGACAGGCTTGCAATCTCAAAAGACAGACACACAACAAAAAGAGAAGGGGAAGGAGAAAAGAGAGGTGCAACTTCTGAAAGTTGTAAGGTCCTTATAATGATCAGATATAACCCGGGCTTTAATTCAGTGGAGTATTGTTTGCCGTCATACCTCATCAGCCAGAATGGGAACAGTTCAATAACGGCAAATCACCCAGTAGAGCCAGTAGAGCAACTGTGCTCCCCATCTCTCCCTGGGTTGCAGCCTAATGGAAGACTCCTGGATGATCAGTGCAGAAGAGGTCAAACCAGGTGAAGCTGGCTACTACTTTCCTTTTGTGATTGCCGACTGCTCAGTGATCTGTGTTTCTTTCTGAAAGACTGTTCTTTTCTTTAACCCCCTTTTTCACAGATTGGGTGTAGCGCCCTGCGGCACACATTACAAATCGTGGCAGCTTTTCACGACATTATTTCATACATTTTCAGTTTCGCTCAGCTTGGAAGTGCACCAGGCTGCTTGGATTACAGGTGTCCTTCTGAACATCTCACAGCAGACTGGGGAGGGACTGAGCAGATTGGTTAGTATCCATTGCTCAATATTGGGGTATGATCTGTTCTGGTTGGGGGTAAAGTGGAGTTGTTTGTTGTTGTGGATGTTGGAAAAGGAGTTGATCTACTTTGTCACAGTCTGACCGCAGCTGTTTTATAATGGCTGATGGAGCGAAGAGCTGGAAGATGGGGCAACTAGCAATCATTTTCTCTATTAGAAGAATGGTTTGCCCCACAGGCTGCAGAAATAGAACTACACTTTTGAATGTACTAACAATTTCAGAACAGTTGAGGTTTTAGTTCATTGAGGATTTCAAATGCAAAGCCATGTTTTCCTGAGCGGTGGAACTAAAGGGCAGGGGAGGCATCCCATTATAGATGGGACAGCTATCACGTCAAGTAAACTGAAGGTTCTGCTGGTGGCTTAGTATATCTGTCTGGAAGTCTCATGAGATGAGAGCTTTTGAATTCCCTGAGCCAAGTCAGTAGGCTCTAGGAAAAGCAAACCAGTCCCAAGGTTCATCTCATATTGTCCCAAGGCAAAACCTAATCAGATTAAGTCAAACTAGCAACACCCTGCTTGTTTTTCATAGAGCTCAAATCATTGCAGTATTTGATGTGATATTAGAAAAACAGGCCAAAGAAACCAATACATAGATTGCTCTTCTTTGGATTCTAGGAATTGAACTTCTTGAAATACAGAAAAAGATAGACAGCCTTCCAAATCCCTCAGATCCAAATAAAGTATCTCACATGCTGATCATGCTCAAAGAAGTGATGTTTCTTCAATTTGAAGCAGCAGTTAGATATTCAGTGAGGTAAGATACAATGCTCATCGTGTCATAATCTAGCTGAAAGATTAATGTATTAAATGATGAATGAGTTTTAGCATTGTTTAGCATAAAACAATAAGGGGGTTAGAGCAAATCAAAGAAGATATAAAAACAAAGCACATCAGAGGTGTTTACTTTAAGGCTATTTGCAACTTTCTCCTGGATTACTTTTAAGAACAAGGGCAGTTCAACCTTTTTCTCTGAGTATGTTTTCTACTCAAAACTATGTATATTCCATTACTTCTCTGCTTAGTAGGGAACAAATATGGTGGGACCCTCCAACCCTTTGGGGCTGGAGGGTACACTGGAAATTTTGAGAGAAAGTTGGGGGCACTCTGGCAAAAGGACTGCTGGGAGAGAAAGTTGCCTACTCACAAAATAGCTGTCAAGAAGTGGCATAACCAGCTATGAGATTCTGTTGGCTCATCCAGCCCTCCTGCAGGACCCTCTCTACCACCTACCTGCTTTTTGCTCTTTTTTTCTGGCAGATGGGCATCTTTCCAAATAAACACTGGACTGCAATGCCCATCATTTTGTGTATTTATTTAGTTTACTGAAGTTTATGGGGCCTGTTTGGGATGCAGGGCATTATTGGAAGCAATGCTGAAGGCTGATGCTTCAATTTTGCAAAAGACCTGACTCCCATTTTTTTTTTAAATTGAACCCCTTTTTTAAAAAATATAAAATTATAGAAAAGACAAGAACCTGGTGGGTGCCACAGGAGGTCTCCAAGGGCACATTGGCACCTGGGAACCAGATTGGGGAGCTTAGCAGGAGATACTGCCATATTTTTTTCTCCCGCAGATTATAAAGCAACTGGGAAAGGGTGCAATTTAAAATGATCCATTCATCTCCCATACAGATTAGATAGAAAACTTCATCTGCCTGTGTTACTATATTCTCAGTGATAGGTGGGAATGATAGTATGAAGTGCAAGTACGTCCAGAAAGAAAGACATCTTTCCCACCTATTGTTCCTCCATGCCAGGCTATGCCCTCCAAAGGCTGCTCTGAATTAAAACAGTTGGGGGAAATCACAGATGACTCTTTATTTGGTCTCATGCAAGGTTTCCAAAACTTACAGTAGCAGGACCACATGCATGCTTACATCTAGTACATTGCCTTGATTTTTATTACTTTTTAAAAAGACTCAAGTGTATAAATAGCAAGTTTGAGTCCTGATGTTAAAGTGAGTTTGAGGGTTCTGCACAGTATCTTAGCTGTTCCTAGCACTGCACTCTTCTGGGCAGAGAGCTCTGATTATGTTTGTGGGATCTGTTGGAGCCACTCTCCCAGCTTAGGAGTCACAGCCCCGAGTGCTCCTACCACCACTGGGACCACTTTGGCCTTTACT